TGTTTTCCAAAACTTACTAACTGCGACAAAAACTGACTTTGCAATTTTAATGGCTGGACACTGTTACACCCTTAAAGGGACAAAATGTTTCGTACTATTATCTACAATAATTCATGAAAATATAATGGTAGCAATTAAGATTGCTTCTAAAACCTACTGTCCTCAGCTACTTTTTGACAAACCACCTATTGTCTTTGTACCAACAATACCATGCATTTCCTCATATGGATATGAAGATGTTCTGGGATGTTGCACCATGTTATCTTATTCAAGTTTATTTATGTTTCAAAGGTGTTTACTGGTTCTGTCATTATTACCTTGATGATGACAGACACAGTATACACCTTTGAAACACCAAGAAAGCCATCTTAAAAATACGTGTTAGTTTCCAGCAGAAACATAAAAGTATTATATGGAGACTGCAGAGCTTTGTAAAATGAACGTTTGAAAGTAACAATTATTAAACAACTCTAAAAGGCTAATAACAGAGATAAAGGGACAATGATTCTATGGTTTTGGCACTGCTGAGAAAGAAAATAAAGTGAAAACTTCCTGTAATGATATTATTGTGTGGTGGGAAAAGTTAACACGTCACCAAATTGAGGATGAAAATTGAACAAACTGTGCATGATGTCATATTCCATTACAAAGATCAATTTTAATTAAACAATACTGCAATGAATGTTTATCAAAGTAAGCTAAAATTGTATGATCTGAAGCTTTCATGCAATCTTCTTGGGCTACCAGCTGTGTCAAGTGGTTTAATAGAGAAAACACCAACATTTCGAGAACCATCTTCATCCTCATCCTCAGGGTATTTCTCGAAATGTTGGTAGTCCAAAAATACTTCATTATATAAGCTAAAATTCTTTTATGCAACATGTTCGTACAAGTGAAGCAAACAATCAATTTATTAAACTTTCTTTCACAAGCATTTCGGATGAGCACTGAACAGTATTAATGGTCTTATGTAAAGTGGTAATTAAAATTACCTGATCTAAATAAAAACTGACATAATTCGGTATTTTGTAAAACTCCTAAATTCCCAATTAGATTCATGTACATGGTAGAAGATTATCATGCTCTACGTCGCATGGGCTGCACATATGTTATTGTTACTTTTATCACCATGGTATTCATATGATTAAAAAAGAAAGGCAATAAATACGTTTACTGCTGGAAAATAAATTAATTTTGTAAAGGTTGCACTGAAACAACTTCTTGTTTCAGGCACTTTATTTACATTGTTTTATGCCCTATATTTTGATCAGACATAAAAGTACATTTTCCTGTGATAATTATTGCAAACAAAATGACTTGACAGTATTACTGATGCCATAGTTTGTGAAACATCAAGTAAAAGCAGAATATACATTCCCACACAAATAATTTCTGCATGCCTGTAGATACAGCAGACACAATATGAAAGACAGTTAAAAAAGTTTTATGGCGTCCATTATCATCCAACAGATTATACTTACTTACTTGGATACTTGGACGACCCGTTCTTCAAGTGCCTGAGCACTGCGGGTCCCAACTTTTTTGTTGGCTTGATCTATGGACATTTGGTAGGACTCCTTGGACGAGGGATCGGCCCATCGCAAGGCCTGTACCTGTACACAGTACAGCACAACACAGACATCCATGGCTTGAGTGGGATTCGAACCCACGGTCCCAGCGACCAAGCGTCACAAGGCCCACGCCTCAGACCGCGTGGCCACTGCGGACCCCCCCCAACAGATTATAACATTTTGCAAAAGAATTCCAGCCTAGACATGGTGTTATCACACAGAAGTGGTAAGCATTGTGTGAAAGGTAAGTATTTCAGACACAAAAGTCACCAAAAAGCAAATACTATATGTACATTGAAGATCTCGGAAAAAGTAAGTTATGGTTAAGTCGGTTTGAGATACAGGAACCAGTCAGTCAATGCAGAGTCAAGGCTGGACCAGTGGAGAGTAGTCAGGATCGAGTGAGTACCTGGGAGCCAATAGGAGAGAAGGGCATGCCACAGCCAGGCCAGCAGGAAGGGCAATGACATGAAAGAGAGAGAGGTTTGCTCTACATTGGTAAACTTCTACCAGACTACACAATGGTACAACATGAAAGACAGCCATCTTTGTACTCACTGCCATGAAAACGTCAAATCCTACTTGTGATCCAATACCAAGTTTATTTGAACAATGACTTTTATCTACATGGTGTAACATGTTTGTCTCTCTTCATATCAGAAGAATGTATTTATGAACACTGAAATGAAGGAACATTGTATTCTTGATAAGGACTATACACAAAAGTTTAGTAAATACTTTTTGCATAGGCAGCCTGGTAGGCGTAACCCCCCTATTCCTGAGTCGAGTCTTCAAGACAAAAATATTTCTTGCATGTCTTTATTGCTTTCCACTGCTTCACTGTTTGTAGCACTATTATTCATTTGTTTGTTTTGCCATTACTGACTATTTTACAACTTATAGTGCTACAAAGTGTTACAAGTAGAGTTTACATCAAATTAGAACAGGCATGACATTTCTGGTCCGCACATTATCTTCCCAAACCTCAAACATCACAGGGACCTCTTTAACTGTTATGTACAGTTTATATTTTACACTGCAGACATCATTAGCACTTCTAAATTTATCTAAAATCTCATTACCAAATGCTAGCTTAATAATATAGTTTTCCAAATTTAACAGATTACAGATACAAAACAATGGAACTATTTCATGTTGCCTTCGTATTTACTGGATTAAAGTATGTCCTCAAAATGACACATAAAGGAAACCCACACTTATTCCAATATTCTTGATGCCCCATGTATGACTTGTACTACATCTGAGACTCCATCTCTGAGGTTCACTCCAGCAGAGTCCCGATAGAAAGAAGTCCACAGATTCACATCAGAAGAATGTAACGGTCATGCTGCAAGACCTATATAACCAACCTTCCACTCATGTGTTGCCCTCATCCTGTTTACATGCCATATTTATGTACATCTCTGCAACTTTGAGGTACTTCTCAAGAATGCAAAGAACATTTGGATTTCAAAATAAAGAATGAGGTTCGGGTCCATATGTCCAATGTAGTGTTCACCACCACATAACCTCAATTTGTTACAACCACTTCCAAATGTCTTAAATTTGCTAGTTGCAAAGGATGTCACATTTTGTCATGCATATGCCTTATAATTCTGGTAACTAGGCTTGTACATATATGTTGCGCAGTTCTCTGCGTTTACTGCTATACTAATCGCATTAATCACGTCTAACAAACCATACTCTCCATGCTGTTTAATCAACATACTCTTCACTACAGTTTTATCTTATGTTGGTATTAACTGTGGTAATGACGGAACGGTACTGACTGCGATAGTGATCACCAGAAAGAAGTCCACTCTAATTTGCACTCTCTCTCCTGATCCCTAAAAATGTTTAAATATACTTATTTGCGTGTTATCCTTGCGAAGCGGACATGCTAATCTGCTCTGTATCGTCCCAATTTTAGTATATGTAGTGCCTAAGCGACTAGTACTCAATCCACTACATTCGAAGAAAGCCAATATAGTCTGAGTTTCTGAAAACGCGTCGGTAAATGAACTATAAGTAAATACAAATATTAATTTCCATATTTGTTACCGTCTCCTAGCAATACATCTATTCATTCGTCGACATGTTTAAATATTGCACCATAAATTTACTATTAAGATCAAGTTTGGTATTTGAAATAAAAATTGAACACTTATTTTATTATGTACACGCGAAAGGAACTTAAGATAGTTATGTTTTAAATGGTATGATGTAGTAACCGTCACAAGAAAACCAAGCGAAAGCGCCATCTTTTGGTAGACGTAATTTTACCTAATCAATACAGGTAGGTTATCCGAAATAAAATGCATTACCCGACCATCGTTTATGAAGTAATTTAATCAAAAGCAATTACGATCTTCGAAATAAAATGTGTAAATCGAACGAAGTCTATGTGGTTCATAATGAAGATGGATGTTATATGTCTTACGTATTGAGAAGTATTGATCGCCATTCTTCTCTCCTGATTGGACAACATTTTAAAATTTAACGCCGCGAAAGTTCTCTGAAACATTACATCACATGTCTACCCAATAAATTCAAGTATGGTATTTGAAATAAAATTTATCAATGGAACTAAGAATATTTTCTTGATGCTGACGTGTGAGGAAGTTAGATCTTATATGTCTTAGGTTCCATGACGTATTAATTTCCGAACGTTCTTTTCGAAAGAATCCCTGAACGATTTTGGTTGTAAGAACGCTCATTTCGTAACATTTCATAGTCACTAACAATGTTTCACAGAACATCCTGATGGTCAGTCACAAATGAGAATCTTTAAGTTCATATAATATAACTAAATCAGTGATTTTTAAGTTTAAGATGGCTGCAGCATGTTCATTATTTCTATTTATTTTTGACGTAAATACGTCTATGCGGAAGGGTCATTCGGCAAAAAAGTGACAGGAAAACATGTAAGATCCGTATCAACAAATCGACAACAATGGTCAGCTTGCGTGCATTGTTATGTTACCTAGGAAACGTCATGTTTACTCGGCATTGTTGTGTTACATTACTGCCGTCAACAATCCGCTTTCGTAACAAGATGGATGACATTGAAGATAACATTACATTACAGAGACGTAAATATAATTTAAATACAGAGACGTATTTACGTCAAATTCTCCGGAACCGTGGTTCCACTGTCAATTTTTGAGCTGCAGCTGGTTTTAACAAAACAATCAAGAAATTTGTTCAGGGTCCCTAGGCTCTCGTCCTAAAAAGGATAGAAAGGCATATCTGTATCATTGGAAAGACATCTCAACACCTCGAAAACGTAATCTTAATAATTAAGAACCCATTCTTCATCTTCCAATTACCCACTGTAAAAAGGAACTCTTGTTGTACGACATTTAAAACACGTGAAAAAGTGAGTATTTGGGGTAATCGCGTAGCTGAAAAATTAAACTAATTTAATAAACATAAATTCAGAATTCGTAATATACAAAACGAGGTGTTGGAAACTTTAAACAAGCCACGCTATACTTAGTTTCAAATAGTCACATCCTACATTCCAGCATTAACAAATTGATCTTTGTGTCGGAGAAGTGATGTTTACCTTTAGGTAGGGATTTGTTTGTGCTAAGGCTTTGTCATTGTTGAATTACGAAAGCTGTGAATTGTTTACGCGTAAACATCTATAGTCGAGAGTTGTATAGCGGCACGCGAACATAATAGACCACGAAAGAGCGAACAGTCTTTTGTTTTGGTGCATTGCTTACAAGCGTCAGCAGCAAAATATAAAATTCAATTAAGAAATATTATATATATATATAAATCGATAAAATAAATATAATTACTTTTCTTAATTCAAGAATATAATACGATTTAATTTACGACAGTCACAAATATGTTCTTATATCGAGCACGGAATTGTGCAATAATGAAGTTGACATTCACAACAATGGTAAACAATGTACCGTAGTAACCCCGGCAACAAACAAACATGGAATGGACCTGCGAATATTAACATGTATTATTTTCAGGGATTGAAGAAGTTTGAATAAAAATGTATGTCAAATCGATAACAGGTAAGCTAATGGAATATTTTACAATATTTATATTTGTCATTTAAGAAGGTGATCTTTAAATACGATGCTGTGGTGAACATATAAAAATGATCTGCCGGGTTTAGGCATTCTGGCCTCTTGGTGCAGTGGTTATTACACGCAGAAGTATCCCGGTTGGGTTTCGGGCTGTACCGTACGCAATTTCTTTATTTCGTCAATATGATTTGACTAAGGCAGAATTGGGGTACGCAGTGGCCGCGTGGTCCTTCTGCCGCTTGGTCACTGGGACCGTGGGTTCAAATCCCACTCAAGCCATGGATGTCTGTGTTGTGCTGTCCTGTGTACAGGTAGAGGCCTTGCGACGGGCCGATCCCTCGTCCAAGGAGTCCTACCAAATGTCTATAGATCAAGCCAACGAAAACGTTGGGACCCGCAGTGCTCAGGCACTTGAAGAACGGGTCGTTCCCAGAATGCCCCCAGTAAACCAGAATTAATTTCAATTCTATTAATTACCATGTTTTGCCCCCAGAGTACAATTTATTTCATTGTACATGACGGTCTTCTGGGTTGTGACGCAGTGTTAACTTATGTGGGCGATGTTTCGGAGGAACATACTGCCTCCATATTCAGAGCTGAAGATGGAGACGGTTTATTCCTCCTAAACGTTGGTATCCACCCACTGCATCACAGTCCAGAAGACCTCCATAAACATCTTCATCGACATAAGAACTCATATTGTCTTAATTCCTTTTACAAATGTACAGTTAGCCCTCGATTTGCGCCGATTGAGAATAACGCCGCTTTTGAAACCAGAAAGTCAAATAGTGAAAAGAATTACTATTATTTATAACGTTTTACAATGTATCTCGTACTGATTCTTATACTAAATCGTAATTCTTACATCGCTGATTTTGAATAAAAATTATAAATACAGTCATCTCTGCAATTACGCGAATTTGCTCCGTGAGATAGCTGAATCGGTAAAAGCTGTTTGTGAAATGCAAACTTTTGCATATGCGAGTTTGCTCTTATGCAGTTTCGTTCGTGGAATATATTTTTTTAAATTCCCTTTATTTTATTTACGTTATTTCAGAGCTTTAAATGTAATGCCATTATATTACTCGTCAATGTTTGGGTGCTGGGAACGCACGTCATTGACTTCCAATTGATTTACATTATAAAAGAGTTTCAATTTACGCCGGTTCGTCCAGGAACGCATCCCCGGCGTAAATCGAGGGCTACCTGTATATGGAAGATAATGAATGGATTCTTATCCTTGAATGATTATTGTTTCCTTCACTAAATACAGATAAGCTTGCTATGAATTATGGGGAAGATGCCAAGATGCGTACTGTCCTTCTCTCCCTCGCAGCTGTGACGGTATCGACTTTCCTAACATTCCTCTTATTAGGCAAGTAAATTAAAGTTACGGAATTAACCTAAAGCAAATAAGCATTGTTCTTAAACATTGCTACGTACCTGCTAGAAATATTTAAGCAGGTTAATAGGTCTAATTAATGTACGAAGACCCCGAAAGAATCGTGAAACATGACAAAACATAAGTAACGTTTCTTTCTAATTTATTCCACTATTTCGTTCGATAATGTTGAACTTACGAACTTAACAAAGGAACGGAGTGGTCACCCAACAGCCCTGAGGATGAGAACAGAGATTGTTCCCGAAAAGTTGGCAGAAAATATGGTTTATTCACCGTTCAGCCACCTGACGCGGCTTGCAGCTCGAGTCTTTCATCAACTTCAATCACCACAAAAGCTTCACTTTATTCAAAAGTTTTTGTGGTTTCTTTGATATAGTGCGAAAAGTGGTTGATGAAAACGACATTGATGCATTATGAATATTCAGTGTCGTTGAATCAGAGTTTCTGTATCACAGTATAAAAGTTGCAACAGATGGCTCTCCACCAGTAACGAAACTATTTCCAGTTGATAAAATATAGCCCCAGTCACAACCTACAGAACATTACAACAAGCAGATAAGGATAATTGCTCAGAAAAATTTTCCTTTCATTAAACGCCCACATAAGGGTCATGTCTAGCTTACAAAAGAAAAGCAGATGAAGAAAGGAAAGTCAAAGGAGAGAGAGGAAAACTTGTTACAAAGGAAGTTGGAAGTAAAGTTGTGAAGAATGGGTTTTTATGCTGTGCTAAGAAACAGTGATTTAAGATAAGGCGTGCTTTCAGTACAGTAGATTCTGGCTATTTGGGACACATCAGGACCAGAACACTTTGGCCCAATTAAGCGAAGTTATTCTTTAAGATTTGTGACAAATAAACGGCTGACCCGTTTAGCCGACGGCACAATTAACTGGAATCTACTGTACTGTCAAAAGTGGGTGCATGAGTCACACGCTGGATACTGCAAGAATAAGTCTGGCACGCTGGTGACTGTTGTTCATGCCAAGAGGTTTCTTTCTTCTCTGAGGCCCAAGGTTCGGATAAATCATATAGTTCTTTAGTTTCACTAAAATACCAACATCTTTTTTATTGTGGCATCACACGTTTGTTGCTTTCTCACTTTTAACCTGTTTTACCATTATCTGTAACGACTTTTATTTTCATTGATGAAAGACTCTCAGGTCACAAGCTGTGTCAGTGGCTGAATGGTAAATGAACCATTTCTTCTGCCAACGTTTATTATTATTTTCATTCTTTAACCTCACAAAATCATAAAAGAATTTTCAAAATCACATAATGTCTACAAAAGTACTGTATTTGTGAAAATATACGAAACTGGATCTTAGAAATATTTTTGTTTCCCTTATGTCCATAAGTAAAATCTTCAAGTGTTCTCTAGAAACACATAAACATAATTTAAGGAATTTGTGATAAACTGTTACAGCATGGCATGTCAGTATTAATCCTCACACTGAAAAAATAAGAAACCATTGAAAACTTGGAACAGTACTAACTTTTGTCCTTCTCAATAAAAATCAGTCTTTATATCAATGAGGTGTACAAAAGGCCACTTTCTTTCATCACGCTGGAATTCACAACACCACTGGATCCAACATATCTACCACCACAAAGAAAATAAATGCAGACGTACAATTTATACCGCTGTTCGTCATGATTACGAAAAGCTCTGACGTGTGGTGACATGATGTCTTGTTGTGTTGTGTTTAGGGATCACAAAGGCTATTCTGGGCCTGTGCTATCCGGATATAGGAAACTGGGGTCTGGATGTTTTCAGCAAACATACAACAGATCTGCCTTATTATGAAAGATTATTTTGTGGAAGAACTCCGGTTTACAGACACACTGAAATGTGTCTTGCTTCTGACACCAAACACCGATCAAGGAAAAGAATGTGCAGGTAGGACTATATTAACAGACCTTATGACCAAGCCGAGTCAGCTGAATGAAACCTTACTGCGACGGCTTGCAAAGTAGTGACCATGATACAAACTGTGTCAGTGTAGGTCTTGTGGATTATAATGCAATGTGAACTTGTAGGAAGATAACAATTCTCATGGAACACAAACTAAACTTCGAGCAGTTGGTCGCCACTTATGGAACATGAGGTTCAGCGCAGCGTTTACGAGCCTATCACAATTAGTCTGATCGATTAATAAAGTAGTTATGTCCGTGTCTTCTATTTAACGCATTGGGCACATTTGGATTGAGATATGAACGAAATTAATAAATTAAATATCTTGTAACTTAGAGATGTATATATAAGCCTACAACACATAACAAAATCAAATATTTTATTATTTACTGGCTGTCAGGAACTGTCATGGAGTCAGAAAGCAGATTTATTTGCCTACCTTGGGACAGAGAACACTTAAGTTGCATTTACTTACCTTCACATTTTCATATTTTATATATATATATATATATATCCTTGTTCATGTTTCAGAGCAAAACAGGTATTTCTTAATACCGTGTTTTTCTTCACATTCCCAGCTATGGTGGTTTGGAGACTGTGTTGTACCCGCATAAAGCGTAGCAACAGAAGAGGTTACATTTCTGTATGTAATAATTTATAATCATTTATGTAACAGAAATTAAAGTAAAAAGCTATTAATTTTTAACTGCTACAGTCAGTATTACAGTGAATATCCAACTGACAGCATAGAGTGTGTGCCATCATATAGGGGCAGTAGTCATTTGTTTTTGAGTAAAAGTTAAGTAAAGCTGTTCCACTATACACCATGTAGGCGTTTAGGGGGTGAGGCTGTATAGCTCCTACTCGTTCTTGACCTCGGCACTAGAAGGGGGGAGCGGTCAGCATCACGCCTCGGCCGTGCTTTACCCCGGGGAAAGGACCCCGGTACCCATTGGACAGGAGGCTGGGTTGGCCCCAGAGCTGGTCTGGAAGCAGAGGCTAGAGGAAAATCCTCTGCCCCCGTTGGGGATCGAACTCCGGTCATCCAGTCACTATACTGACTGGAGCTACGACGTCTCATTTGTTTCTCAGCAATTTGAGAAAATAAACATTGATGTAGCTAACAACAAAGCTGTTATGGCTTTAGGACATTGTTAGAGATGTTTATAGATTTCACAGTAAGAAGTGGCTGGTGATGAAGATTGCTTTATTTCAAGTTTCGCACCACTAATAGAGGATTATGTCAGCACATGCAGATGCGGAATAGAGCCACAGGACAGAGATTTATCCACTCTTCTAATTAAAAAGAATACACACTAACTAATAAATAGATAGAAGATACACCTTTTTGTCGTGTTATTTATTCCACCTTGGAAGTATAAAATATGACAAGAAGCTTAAAACTTACAACAATATGGCAGAAAAAAGGAAAATGAAAGAGTAAAATAAACTTCTGGCTGACCTCACATGCAGAACTCGCAGATCTCAATTTGAAAAACATGGATGTGGGATAGAAACATTTCTGTGAATTTGTGAAAGTGAAATGCCTATTTCATTCCTTATCATTTCACACTTTCCCTTGAAACTATAACACATACCACATAAGTAACTTTATATTGATTAGAGAAATTTGCACAAATTTTCTACAACTTTAGTTAAGAAACTAAACTATGTTTACCTAAGATCACCTGAATGCCCAGTCATAGGTGAAGTACTGCACTAATGACCAAGTGTATGATAATGTACTGCGTAATCAGGGCCATTGCCCACCTCATGGATCACTGGAATGAAAAAACAAGAAAGTCAGAGTAAACCTGTTGCATTGCCACTTTGACCAACAAGAAACTCACTTAAAGTCACCAGGGACTTAACCTCAGTCTCTAAAGTGAAAAGCCAGCATCTCGCCATCTGGGCAACGTCACAGTCAGACAATATCTAACAGTCTACATAAATTCAATAAAAGTGCCTGTCAAGAATAATGGGAAAATCCAGAGCAGAACTTAAAAAATAAAAAAACACATTTGTATTGAAAAGTGTAACAAAGCAGCACATAACAATTATAATCATTTCTTATCTTTGCTTAATTATGAAGGCTAAGAAACGTCAACATGTAAACATCTTTCCTGTTGCATTGTATAGACTTGCATGTACGTAGAAGGACATCAACGAGTCAACAGTCTGTTTCAGTGCATTGTTTCCATAAAGTAGCATATACAAATTTAAATTAAGGAATGTTGCATTATAGAAATTAAAATTATTGTTTGTCCTTGATTAATTAAAGAATAAAGTATGGTGTAATTTAGTGAAATCTAAAATATGATCTTATGGGATTGTAAGATCTGTGATGCATTGCATATTAATAAATGTAAATAGTAGGCCACATTAAATTAAATCCGTGGCGTAACAGCTCCAGAGAGCCAAAGCCGACTAGCTGGCTGCTGGCCTCACGTTCACACGCCTAAGCAGAGGTGAACGATCATCCAACCAGATATAGAGTGACGTGTGGTCAGCACGACGAACCCCCAGCCATTGCTAGCTTTTCTACCCATTGTAGCTGTCCAATTTCATCACGATCCTGGGTTGGCACCGGTCCCATACACTGGTCGAAAATCTCATGAGAAATTTTCTTCTCCCCCAAGACTCGAACCAGCGCGCATTCCGTATCGCCGGTCCAAAGCATGATGCCTCAGACCGCGCGGCTAGTAGGCCACATAGTCATAATTATTGTTATAAAGGGCCAAAATCCCTTCACAAAAAATGATTGCAAACCAACACTTGCCTGTTATATAGACAATTTATAAACAGCAGAACTGTATCCCATTTTAAAACATCATGTTTCCAATGATGAACATTATATTTATTTGATTCTGTCTATTCATTGTGTATTCAGACAGAGGGACCTCATTACGGTAATCTTGATGAAGATGATAGTGACTTCGTGGTGACTGAACCTGCAGATGCCATGATTGCACTGCAGAAGATAGAAGAACAAAGTCAGGAAGAACACAGGGTAAAGCATAACAAATACTGATTCACTAAACCTACATAATTAGACAACAAGATAGTGAAGGATTATTTTTTAAGGTTCAAAATACAAAATACTATTAATATCTGTTTCCTTCTGCCCATTCTGTATTCAGGTACGAGCTTCTTATTACCCGAGTTCTGATTCTGATGTTGATTATGACGACGACGACGACGATTATATACGTAGGTTGATGAAGCCTGAAAGTGTATATACTGAGTATGCAGCACACGCACAGAATCAAAGTCAGGAAAGTTTCACGGTAAATCATACAAAATACTAATTCAATAAACTCACATATTAGACAGTAAAAAAGCAAAGAGCTATTTTTTTATGCTTCAAGAATATTAAATACCTTGAATGCCTATTTCCTTCTATCCTCTGTGTTGGATGGTTACTGTGAGACAGTACAGATTTAATGCATATAGCAATGTATTGGCATTTGTAAGTTTTATCACCATACAGTGTTGCAGTGTATTTGTTTTATAACATCCCTTTCCATGTGCTAATTCCACAGAGAATAAACTGTTTTTTTTAACACTTTGAACATGAATCTCATTTAAATAATATCTAGAAACACAGCCCTTACTTCAAACAAAACACAACACTTCTCCGTTACAAAGATCGACTGGTTAAATACGTTTAACGAAACTATCACTCTTTACTGTGAGAATTATACACAACACACAAATACACAAATGCAGAGTTACTGATTGTTGTAGCAAGTGGCACATGTAGTTATCATTGGGTTTTAAAGGGATACTTATATTTAACAATGAATGAAAGTAATTTTGTTTGATATGGAGCTTTCATGGCGACTAAGTACAATCAATTATTTTTGGAATACCAGCTGTGTCAGGTGGTTGAATGGCAAAAAACCAACATTTTGAAGACCATCTTTGTCCTCAGACTCAGTGTACTGAAGTCAGTTGCTTGTTTTGCCTTACAACCACCTGACACATTAGGTACTGTGGGATACTGGGAACGACCCGTTCTTCAAGTGCCTGAGCACTGCGGGTCCCAACTTTTTCATTGGCTTCATCTATAGACATTCGGTAGGACTCCTTAGAGGAGGGATCGACCCGTCGCGAGGTCTGTACCTGTATACGGGACGGCACAACACAGAAAAATGCAGACAGATATCCATGGCTTGAGTGGGATTCACATCAACGGTCCCAGCGACCAAGCGGCACAAGGCCAGCGCCTCAGACTGCTCGGCCACTGCAGACCCTGACACATGTGGTAATGCAAGAATAAATTTATTTTAAAAATAATTTTGCTGCCCTATTACTGTTTGTACTGTTTATGAGGTTCACTAAGAATGCATGTAAAATGGCTACAAACATTTCACAGGTTACAATGAGCTGTTATAGAAAATAGTTATGACAAATATGTAATTTGATAATTTTCAGTCCCAACAGGATAATTTTATTAATTTTGTATGTTTTACGTTAAGAAGAACCCTAGCAAAAACTTGTTTAAAACTCATGAACTCAAAGAATGCACTTTTAAAGAGGAGTTTAAATGTTTTACTAAAAATGAGAAATGCCTTTGCTCACTCTTTCAATCATAATCAGAGAAACCTATGTGATGTATTATATAAGTTCAATATTTTCTTGATTTCTTTAGCACAGCTTGCATGAAACGAAGAGAGCAGCCTGGAAAGATAAATCAAGAGTGGAGGATCTGTTTAGGGAGACTGATAACAGAGGAGATGCACAGACCAGAAACAGAACCAAGATCACTGACAGAGAAACATGTTTTGAATGTAAATTTGGTCAGTGTTCCACCAGTACTAAGAAATTCTTTTAATATTAACAGGAAAATATCATGCTACAAAGTGGCTGTACTCCTCTTTGAACACTACTAACCAAATTACCAAACATGCTGATAAATTTACCTTTGCTGACAGATTCATTTGCAACAGCTGATTTAGAAGGATATGGCAAGCAAAATGTCATCCTCTTCAGTTAATCATTGAATATGATGTAACCTAAGGAGGGTGAGAGGGATGAGAAATCATACAGGGTTAATCTGAAGTCCTGAAGGGTGGAAACTGCTTGACAATTCAGGTATAGATCAGAGCATAATACTAAAATTGTCTATAAATAAATAAGGCGAGGAAGTGTGCATTGGATTGGTCTGGCCTAGGACAGGGACATCCCAGGAGACTGCCATTTTGTTGCAGTGATTGCTAGTTTTGAATACATCATGGTTGTGTAACATAAGAATTTATTTTATTGTTGTAAACAGATAAAGAAAACTTAGCAGAGAAAGTCGTCGAAGATATGCTTCAGAATGGAATAATATTTCGCAACTTAAAAGAGCCTATAGGTGGGGTCATTATGCCTAAAGGAGTCCCTTACACTGTAGCTGGCATGTTTCAAATGACAGAAGCAAGTCACATGTTTAAAGTAAAGAAACCTTTTTTACAGGTAAGAGTAAAATCTAATCAGACTGCGCTAAGATAACAAAAAACAACTGACTACTCTGCATAAAATGATAATGAGTGATGAACTGGGATGGATACGAATGCAAGTGATCATGGCCTGATTTTCAGTATTATCCTGCAATTTGTGTAGGGACTGAGGAAAGTCATAAAAACTTCAAGTTAGGATACCCAGCTTCATGCCGAGACTTGAACTCTGAACACAAATGAAATATATTAATTTCAGAAAGAAATTATAAAGAGAATACAATTTTTTACAAATCCACAGAAAAAATATGTTGCATTATGGGAAAACAAATGATTTTAGTACCAGGCAAGTAGAGCTATGTAAACAGGGTACATTACGCATGAAAATTAATAAAATAGAGGAGCTAGAAGTCCCAGAATCATTACTGCAAAAAGTGTAATATGGTAATGATGTTATGATGATGATATTTAAACTTGCATTTTACTTTCAATTGCAGTATCATACCATCAGTAATGGGAAAGAAAAGGTTGTCAAACCTCCTACAAAGCTGAATGCAGAAGATTTTGAACTCAACTTAGAGACGCCAGAAGATGTGAATAAATTTAAAGAATTAACAATTATTCCCAGAGGCTTATGTCTAAATTTAAAATGAATCATAGATGCTTTTAGTGAAAGCTCGTTGGTTTTAATGGTGGCAAGTATGAAGATGACCATGATTATAACACCATTTAGTCTGGTAGAAGTTTGCCAACATTTACTTGCTGCCTCCATCATCAGAGCCGGTCTGGACGCAGAGGCTAGGGGAAAAATCCTCTGCCCCCGTCGGGGATCAAACCCCGGCCGTCCAGCCAGTAGCTAGTCGTAGTTAATATATGCGCAGTTAGGGCAATTAATATCAAGGTCAAAGATGGGTTATCAACCTGATGGAGGCAGCAAGTACCTCTAAAACCCTTCTTCTTAACTACGTGGCGCTAGAATAGCTTCAAATAAAGATCGTGATAAACTGAAAAAAAGTTGGGTTATATTTAAACAAGTATAAAGAGAAATGGGAAAGTTCAGTGATGAAATATGAGGAGAAATAAATCGTAAATTTTATATATTTAGAAGTGTACACAAGACCAAGGAGTCATGTCCAACATTGTAAACTGTAACCAACAGACTAATAAATTCTGTTATTACCAAACAACCTTGTTTCAGTTGTGGATGATTTGTGATGTTGAGTGAGTGATACATGCATCTAGTGAGCTCTTGTGAACATGGAAATGAATGTCCAGGTTCCATAAAAGGCAGGACATTTTTGACGAGCTGAACATACTATTTAGTTTCTCAAGAATGACTCTGTTCTGTGGAAACAGTTAAAAGGTTCAAATCTAGATATCAGCTGCGTTAGCAAGCATTTCTCGGCAAATTCTGTGGTAAATGTAGACCTCTTTGACTTAATGCAAAAGTATTTCTACTCGAATGTGACGGTTGTACAAATCTAAGACGCAGATAAATTTATGAAGTACTTTCGAATATTCATGCTGTAAAGTTGGTACACATATCTATCACAATTTACAAGGGAAAGCCAATCTGCATAATTGTTTAAATAGGCTTACATTTGAAATAAATAAATGCTGAACTAGACTAGTGGCAGAGTAGCAAAGCATCCGTAAGTTACGCAGTTTGACCATGAAAGGTTCATTCTTTTGTGTGCTCAAATTCAGACTGAGTGTGGTACTGCGCTAACATAAATAGACATCTATGCGAATCCTGCGCTACTTAGACATATTTGGACTTACTAGCTACATACTACTCTGATGTACATTATATATCACATACAAATCTCAATGAGCATCCTATTGGGGATAATCAGTGTAGGTTCCGTCATGATAGGTCTACAAGTGATCAAATTTTCTACATTTGCCAGATGCTAGAGAAAAAGCGGGAGTATAATGGAACAGTCCATCAACTATTTGTAGACTTCAAGAAAGCCTATGACTCAGTTAAAAGAGAAGCTCTTTACAATATTTTTCTTAAATTCAGTGTACCTAAGAAGCCAATCAGGCTAATTAAAATGTGTTGAAGTGAAACCTCTAGCAAAATGCACGTAGGCAAACATTAGTCCAACACATTTCCTATTCAGAATGGCCTGAAACAAGGAGATGTTCTATCGCTGCTGCTTTTCAGATTTGCCTTAGAATATGCCATCAGGGAAGTCCAAGAAATCAGGGTGTTTTGGAATTAAATGGGACACATCAGCTTTTGGTCTACGCTGATGATATTAATCTGTTGGGTGATAATATAAATACCATAAAAGCGAACACACAAACACTCTTAAAGGCTAGTAGGAATGTCAGTCTAGAAATTAATGCAGAAAAGACAAAGTACATGATCATGTCTCGGCATCAGAATTCAGGAGAGAACCAGAATATAAGGATAGTTAATGAATTGTTCAAAAATGTGCCAAAATTCAAATACCTGGGGGTGACACTAACAAGCCAGAATGACATTCATGACGAAATGAAGAGCAGATTAAATTCAGGGAATGCTTCCTATCATTCAGTCCAAAATCCTTTGTCCTCCCATCTCATATTAAAAAAACTAAGATTAAAATGTACAAAAGTGCAATTTTGCCAGTTGTGCTGTATGGGTGCAAAACTTGGTGTCTCACCTTGAAGGAGGACCATGGATTGAGAGTCTTTGAGAAGAGGGTGTTGAGGAGGATATTTTGACCTAAAAGGGAGGAATATGGATCATGTAGAAACTGCATGATGATGAGCCTCATGGCCTATACTGCTCACCTGATGTTGTCAGGGTGATTAAATCGAGGATGAGACATACAGCATGCATGGAGGAGGGGAGGGGTGTTTCCAGGGTATCGGTTGGGAGTCCTGATCGAGGGAGACAGCTGGGAAGACCTAGGTGTTGGTAGGAGGACAACATTAAGATGGACCTTAGGGAGATAGGAATCGATTGAGTGAACTGGATGCGGCTAGGTCAGGACAGAGTCTTGTGGCAGGATTTTATGAACACGGTGATGAACCTTTGGGTTTCATAAAGAAAGTGGACTATTCTTTGACAAGCCAAGTACATAATCAACTTTTCAAAGAATTTCCTACACGGTAGAGTGAATGAGTGAGATTCTGGGAGCAATAGTTCTGCCACTCTCATGCACACTTAACTATAGGAATCGATTGAGTGAACTGGATGCGGCTAGGTCAGGACAGAGTCTTGTGGCAGGATTTTATGAACACGGTGATGAACCTTTGGGTTTCATAAAGAAAGTGGACTATTCTTTGACAAGCCAAGTACATAATCAACTTTTCAAAGAATTTCCTACACGGTAGAGTGAATGAGTGAGATTCTGGGAGCAATAGTTCTGCCACTCTCATGCACACTTAACTTACCTCTGAAATGTCGGTAAACTTCTACCAGACTACACAGCACAACAACCCATCTTAAATTTTAAAGATGTCCAAAACTAGCTTCAACCATGTCGATGAGTGGCAATAACACTGGGATAACTGTGTTGAATTCAGAGGAGCCTATTCTGAAAATAAATGCACTTGTAATAATTCAAGATAAAGGAAGTATGTTCATTCTCTGTTTTTATTGAACAGTCTTAGTACATGTTCCAAAACTGTGATGTTGGGAGGGGTACCAAAAATTTATTTTGCCACATTCTTCTACTGCTTGCCCTGTGCATAATTAGTCTCATTCGATTTCTTGTTCCCTTGACTTTGTCAGTAACTGAACAGCTGTTTTAGTCTGATAGCCCAACCATATTTCATTGTCAAAACTGAATGTTATTCTCCCCATTCTAATTTATTCACAGTGTAATCTATGCAAGCTTGTTCACTTTCGTAAACGAACTTTCCTAACCACGGCATCGTAAGGGATTAATACCATCTCGTACAAATGTTCGGCTTTATACTTTCTGGTTCTAAATTTCATTTGAATTTCTATCAATTTATTTATTAAGCTACTTACAAACCTCATGCGTTAATGTCTTGTGACTGAACAATAACAGCCCGGGGTGGTGCCTGGAGTGAACCTGGTTAATCTGACCATACCCCAGCACTACAATGTATCTACTCCCTAAACCTAAGCAAGCCGTGCTTAACCCGAGTTCAGTTGACAGGGAAATCTGTTCCAGACGACCTGTTCTAACATACTCGGTTACACATACTTATTGCACATGTGAATTATATTCTAATTACAAGATATTTACAAGTGAAGATGAAGTTGCGCAGCTCGTTAATGGGTCATTACAGTTCATGCGGGAGTGTCTTCCATTTCCATTTTACCACTGTTATGGTCAATTTGCATTTCTCATAACGAATGAAGTTAGACGTCCTACTTGAACTCAATTTGTAAATAAACGTAACAAACAAATTATTTTGGCGTCCCTTTTGATTACTCGTGAACAAACTTCAATATTTCATCAAAGCTTACCTGGTAAAAACGTCCACCATGTTTTTCCATGGATGACAGGCACCCTCTTAGGTGGTTCCGAGCACGAACAAGAATTAATCTCTGCCTATTCCATAGATAACATTCTCTCCATAGGCTTCACGGTTGGAGTTCAAGCCAAAGTTATACATAGATAACACCGAAAATATTCTAATAAAAGAGGGCCGAGTGTGTTCCGCAGAGGGACCGACATAGATCAGTGAATGACGTTATCGTAACATCACATTAAAAATTACATTATGTTTTAAATATACGCCAGCATAATGTTCAAACACACCAAGTTCATACTTCCCTCACCAGATGGCAGAGTGGATGCAAAGTCGAAAATGTAAAAACATAGTAATCCCTAATTTAATTTCTATTATGAATGTCATTACTTTGTCTTGCAAGCTGTACACGGGTGTATATAAATTTCCTTCACAAGTTTACTCGAGAATGAAACCATTATGAAAGGGCACAGACACACTGTTCGAGTGTCGCCTGTGAGAGAAACTCTCAAATTGTTGGGTTAGATGTAACAGAACAGACATGTTGCTTTAAGTGTGACTTTGGGAGGGGGGAGGGAGCTATTGAAATCTAGCAATGTGAATGATCAAAGAGGGGATAGGATATTAATAAAATTATTGCACAAAATATGCTGTGTAGAAACAAACTCAATTAAACTGACACAAGATAGAGGCTTTTATTTCAGTTGTGTTTGAACCTTTCAGTTGTTACTAGAGACATATATGATAACATTTTATATTCAGATCTCCCCTCAAAAACTGCAGATACTAATGACGTTATATTTAAACAAGCTTTTAAAATTTAAAACAGTTGATGTGTAAAAAATGCAAAGCACATTTTCAACTGGAATCATTTAATACAATAGTCACATAAATATTTACATATTAATCTTACTGCATAGATTAGTGTGGTACTAGAATACATTGTGCCATGGATTGCAGAGGGTCATTTTATGTAACATCAATAAATACACACAGCTTTATATATACAATTACCATAACCATGAATGGGATTCCAAAATTACCTTATCTTGGAACCCACCTATTTTTTTGAACAAGTAGTCTATGGCATATCTACATATATACAGTCATGCAAATTTTAGTCAGACATGTCCTTCAGCTTGATGTACAGGCAACATGAAAAGATCATTCCGAAGATCTGCAGCACGCAGATACCAAGCCCGACAGCACTCAAGATGATGAGATGATCCCTAATCTCACCTGCCAGCCTGTGTCTGCATCCCTGGGCAGAACAAACACAATTATAGCCATCTGTCAGCTTTTGAATGGTCCAACATTTGTTAAGACCACTTGTTTGTATTAGGGTTATTTCAAAAGAAAGATACAAATGGACATACCATAGTATACATGAATTTTACTGCCAGTTGTTAAGAGAATACGAAGTGGCACAATGAACGAACTGAGGAGAAGCTATTTGTTAAAAGGGAACAGGAAAGATGTAAAATGGTCAATGACAATGTAACGCCATACCTGTGGGCCCTCAGAAGGAATTTACTGTGGCAGTATTTGTGAACTGTGATAATATTGCTGCAGTAAAAACATGGTTTCAGGCATTTGACAAGGACTTCAATGCACTAGTTTCCCTTCTGAGCAAGTGATGATTATGTTGAAAAATAATGTTATGATGTGTCACAGTGTCTTTACACGCCTTACTTTTGGATTTTTCCTTGCAGGATGCAAAGTAACAATACAGTGAAGGCACACAGTCTGTTCTGTTTGATGTAGGGAACAGATGAATTACTGCGTTAACTGCAGTGAATTATAGTGCACAAATCTATCATAAATATGCATACAAGAACTGCATAAAATGTCGTTTGTATGTTAAAATTCTTAACATTGTGAAGATGGAAAACTTTGAGGTTATGTATAGAAGTTTCAGGTACAGGAGATTATACTGTATGGAAACAGTGCACAAAGATACATCACTAAGTTGTATAGTTATTAATTCATAATTTCCATTACTGATTCTAAAGCTGAGCATCACAAGTTCTTGCATTGACAGGAGGGAGAAGACCTTGTGGTCTAGGGACAAGGCTCTGAATTTCTGTTCTTTCCATGTAATTATGAACATATTTGTTAAATTACATTAATCTTCTTCTTCTTTTTCTTTAGCATTTGTCCTGCTTTTTCCTCTCTTTTTGGAGGTTTGCGTGGTCTATTTAGACATTCGGTAGGACTCCTTGGACGAGGGATCAGCCCGTCGCAAGGCCTCTACCTGTACACAGGACAGCACAACACAGAAAGACGCGAACAAACATCCATGCCTTGAGTGGGATTCAAACCCAGGTCCCAGAAAACAAGGCTCACGCCTCAGACCGCGCGGCCACTGTGACCGGCTGTTAAATTACATTAACAAAATTAACGTACATCACTGCTTTTGTGTAATAATGCCTGACCTGGATGCATAAAGCTTGTTTTAAAGGTACATGCATCTTACAGCTGAAACTGTGAACTCACCGTGTAGTGTATATTGCTCGGATGGTCACTTTTCCCACAATGTGGAGTGATGGTCTTGCAGCATGAGTTCGGAACCTTCAGCCCCTCAGACAGGTTTTCTTTTTGCCAATAACTGTACTGCCAGTCTTCAAACAGGTTTGCACCACAGCATTTGTACTGTAGACAGAACAAGAGGCAAACCACACATCAATTATGTCAAATACATTTCGAGATATATTCTTCTGTCTCTGAATGTGCAACATTTCTGGGGGTCAAGACACTGGCCGCTCGCCCGCATCTAGTGCCGAGGTTAACAATGAGTAGGAGCTACCCCTGCAGCGCCTACGTGGCATATAGCGCGACAGATTTACTTTTAATTTTACTACATTTTCGAACATCTTGACGAAGCGATTGCCTACCGAAAGATTTCACAACCTACGTACGTGCGTGTTAATTGGTAACCCTGAGAATATTTGGTGGCAGCTCACAGTAACAAAAAGGCTGTTGACTCCTGATTTAGACCCTACAAAATACCAATTTTAAACGTGGTATTTGACTCTAATGAAATGAACAGAGAAGTTTAAATCAGACAGTTCAAGTGGTAAGTTGTCTACCTGGAGGCTGGAGTGATTGGGTTCAGTTTCTGGCAGGAGTACAGATTTTTACCCTGGTCCCTTGGTCTGTCCAAACTACGGTCCAATGGAACCAGGAACTCTTTCCTGACAGTGGCAAGAGCGTGAAACTGACCTCCACCTAAGGCAGACGTCATATTACTTGGAGCTCTGCCTCCACTCACCTGCCCTCACATGGTGCTTAGACAGAGGGTCAAATTTGACCTTCCTCTGTGGTACATGAGACTTGATAATGTAGGATTTGAGGTTTCCACGGTGGTGAGTCTGAAGATGGCTGTCTTCTGGGTTCTTGCGCCATGTAGTCTGGTAGAAGTTCAGAGTCGTTTCAGAGGTCCTTGCTGCCTCCATCATCAGACTACACAGAGCAACAAACCAGAAGACGGCCATCTTCAATACCAGGTAGTCAGTGTGTGAGGACGATACCTCAATCTGCATCTGATCTATGGCACTAGTCTTCTTATCGTCCAGCTTGTAGTTTTCTACGAACGTATTGTTCAGGTTCAGGCGCAATTCCTCCTCAACGTGTGGCTCGTACAGGAATGACATTATGCCAACCATTGCCTCCAGAAGGAAGATGAGCAGCAGCGCAAACGTGTACTGGAACAGCACAAAACCAACCATACTTTAATTCCATTTCACCCCCTTAGGTTAGGCCGTGCCAACTGAGTGATGGCGGTAAACCATTCCGCCTGACACAGAGAAACCCTACAAAGAGGTTACATTTAGTTTCAACCTCTGAAACGTTGGTAAACATCGATTATACTACACAGCGCAACAACCCAGAAGACAGAAATCTTCAATAACATTATTTATTGGTTTTAATCAGAGACGCTTTGTATTGGTGTTTAATTTCAAGCATTCCTAACTGTTTTATTCTTTAATTTTGAATTAATTTTGTCACACTTTTATACTCAACAACAGTTAATTGACGTAACATATGTTAAATGTTTTTATCATCTATTTTAGACAATCAGAATCAAGTGTTTAACGGTGTTGTGATACGGGAAAAGGAAATTACGATCTGGAGATGGGCTTACAACCCAAAACATGCCTTCGAAAGTGAACTAAACAACAAGATGCAAAGTGAATTGTTGCACGTAATGTAGACTGGATTAATTATACTATTTTAGGAAAATCTCACAACTTGGTCCTGTATAATGTTAAGAACTCTCGTAGTTCTGGTTGCGATGTAGGATCTGATTTCCGTGTGAATTACATTGGTTATTCTTCGTATGTAAGAACGAAGACTCATTTCAAACTTTGCGGACACCGGACAAGTCAGGTAATTTTTGTGTGAATTTGCAGTGTTGTTTTTTAAGTGATCCGTTCATATCACTGGGGGACAGCCTATTAAAATTGCTTCGTCAATCCGCCTGTATGCATGTCACAAGTCCAAAACGGCCGAACGGATTTTCATTAAATTTAATACTCTCATTCATACATTGCGCGTCCAGTAGTAAGAGATCTCGAAATCAATTGTCGCCTAAACACAAAGTTACGTGACACCAAGATCGGTCGGCCGAATCTTGGATTCCTTCTGGCGCACGTAAGGACAAACCCGAATCATGTTGGGTTTTCTGTAATCGGCAAACAACTTCGCGTGTGGGCGACGTCACATTTCTAGGAAATTTTTTAATTGTCCTACAAGTAATTTAAAACGCATTTGACTGTGGACTCGACTGCACGACTTTAAAACTGCTGTCCAGAATTGAAACTTGGGATAAATATTTTAATCAAAGCGTTGGACAAGACTTCCACCGCGACCATTACGAGCTGCCCGTAAGGGTCGCTCACTCGCCAAATACTTTGCCCACAGTTATGCCTGCTGCCATAGCGTCCATTACATGGAAACTTTCGGACAGTGAGTGAACGCATTGCGCCATCTTGAACTGATCTGTTAGACTGCGCGATTCTCTCTCTGTATTCTCTGTCTCGCCCAACAAAGATAAATCACCCACCGCCCACCACACGATTCGAGGGAGACCGCCACACATTCACAAGAAATAGTACGACGATCAAATCTTAATTTCTTTGCCGTGTATTGGCAATTGGATTTTACAGACCATTTCATCATATTTGTTATACATTTTATGAATCTATTTATCCGCACCATTCATTTGACATAACACACGTTATCAGACGACGATGACACAGCGCAGTGTTGGTACAGTACAGCATATAAATATATTAGTTCTTTGTCAGTCACGTGGCTAATTCTCCACCCCGTTTTTACATTAAGATCGTTCGTGAGTGAAATCAGACTTGGCAGGCTGCATTCTATTCTTGGTAAGAATGTTCAGCTTCTGCAGCAAAAACTTGGATATGACATGATATCCTGATTAGGACAGCATACCATTACTACATTTATCTGACAAACGAAACATTCTGTTACGATTCTGTCTCAGTTTTTATACGTGTTTGTTCCAAAACGAGGCAGTTCTGCGGTAAGATTTATATATTTTTTTTCTGTGTTGGCATTTCTGAAGTAAGAATGCACCTACGTTACTAATGCATTGGGTCATTCTGCAGTGAAATACTGGTGTTTTATACATCATCAGTGCGAGGCGCTTCTGCATTTACAGAACTGCAAAAATGTTTCTGCATCAGACAATTCCGCAGAGAGAGCGCCCGACCTTGCGCGTGGTTTCCTTTTTCCCCGTACTGTTGGTTGCTCGAAGTAGGTTGCGCTTTTGTTTTGTTTCCACGAGTGCGTCATTCCTCAGTAAACTGGGTTAATGTGTTTCAGGTGACCTGGCGACCACCAAAGGAGCCCGATGGGTGGGTCACCCCAGTCCTTGTCTGACCTTGAAACCGTATGTATCAGGGTTCCTCAACCAGGGTTTTGCAATACGTCGTCAGAAATCGTGGAATAAGTTAATAAACATTTTGTAACACCACGAAATATCCAAATGTCCCTCGAAATGCTGTGGACACACTGAAAGTAAACCTCTTTACTTTGGATGTAAACTTTTATCTTGGTGTTTAAGTAAGCTTTATTTTGATATTTAAAAAACATTGTACAATACAAAAGAAGACAGGAAAATGCTTTATTTTTATACAATGCAAGCTGACTTATACAGCAGCTCTTTACAAATAAGTTAAGTGACAGTAATTTAGCAGTAACTGAATTGCGCGTTCCCCGCTTTCAACTTTTCTAGCCTGTAAACGTTTTCATAGTAGAGGTTTCTCGGGATATGAAATATTATTTTGGAGGTTCCTCTACGGAAGGAAATACACATTCACAACTTAAACAATGGGACTGCAGTCGCAATTCATAAATTAACTTTAAACTCAACAAAGACAGAGATATATAACAGAGGACAGAGGTGCCCTCTCGTCAGATCGCCCTAACAGGGGCTCGACACCAAGACAGGAAGACTGAATGACCGTCAGTCGTAAAAGTGTTGGACCTGAAAGCTCCTCACTGCTGCCTTCTGGTTTTGAGAGGACGTAACAGACTAAATTTAAAACCCTCTTGAGTTCCAAAAAAAGGGGTCGCCGCCATGACGAACTAATAGACCGCCTGTTGTAAAGTGACTCGGGCATTTATCACATAAGTTTATTTATTCATTTATAGTTATTTAACGACGCATTTACTGCATCTCAGACTATACAACATCGAATGGCATCTGCCTGGAGGTACTGAGATAAACCACGAAAACAAAGTCAGTGTACCCGGGACCTCGCGAATAAGGAGTGTTTACCATTCGATCACTACGTTCGGTTCAAGTCTGAAGATGGAGGCAACATGGTCCACGGCGCAAAAACCATATGAAACTTAATCTCGTTTAAATAACATTTAGTAATTCAACGGTGCTTAAAAAACAACATTTCACAATTACAAATAAAAACTGGTTAGTGCCGCTTAAGAAAATAGCCGCTGCTTATTGTACGGAACACAAACAGAAACTGAAGAGTTACTAATTGTTGAATCAGGTGGGAGATTTAGTTACCACTCGGCTTCAAAGCGTTGATTGGGGTGAACAACCTGCCTAGATTCCAAAGTCACGGTCACTGAGATGCATTGGCATACGCTAATGAGGACCGGGGCAATACTGAACTGTAAAATTGCAACAGGTTGAAAGGGTCAGACAGTTGTCGTGGCGTCAGTAACCTCTTTCCATGGCAACTCGCACAGCTACTCTCTTTACCTGTCCTTTCACTCGCAGGAAACAACATTGTCTAAAGAAGATCCGTGTTCTGGCACTAGACGGCTCTCGCGTCTCTCTACATCGGGTTACCGAAGGAACATACGAATATTGTCGGAAGGAATGTGAACCAGCAGCGGTGACTCCACGAAGTTCAGAAGAGAACACAGAAAATTTCCATATTAATTATACACATATTATAAACATCGTAAGACAGCCGAAATTAACTTCAAAATAGCGAACATCGAAATTATGACATTCTTCAATATTTAATGAGTCAAAATCGAAAACAAATGCCTATCTCGGAAAACGGGAGCCTTCAAGTAATCGTTGCGTGAGGTTATGTCGGCAAAAGCACTACAGCAATCTCTTTTAACAGCGACACTAAGTCTTCAGGGTTGCAAACAGTTTGGACCGGCGCTGTACCCCTATTATGTCGCGTGCGCTGGACGCCACACTCATTCTGGAAGAACACACAACCAAACCTGAAAGCTATTCAGTTCCGTGCTTCTATATCCGCATAGTCAAACATGAGTTTTCTGGTTTCAACTCACAACAGTAACCAAATTACCATTATTATTATCAAAGTTATTTCAGTGACAGCCGGACTTAAGAGTGGCCAATCATCTACGCCAGTGGTATTCAACCTTTTTTATTCGCGTACCCCCAGATATAATTTCTCTTCAACTTTGTACCCCCAAAGTTGTTGGTGTATAATTCAAGTTATACATAGTATATAATCTGCATCTAAAATAAATTAAATAAATTACATTACTGATTATTCAGTGTTTATCATAATTTTTTTTAATTTCACGTACCCCCTAAGATCTCTTCGCGTACCCCAGGTTGAATACCACTGGTCTACAGACCGGAACTGGACGCCGCCAAATCGACTTACATTTCGCATAAAAGTTAATTGTTGTGAGGAAAAACTCTAGATGGAATAGGGGCTAGGTTTTAACACCACAGAAATCACTGAGACGCCTTGTACAAGGGCCTGGAATCTCGAAACCGCCATCAGTTAAAACGACAAAGCTGTAAATTTCAAACTACGTAATTGGTGTAGAGTGTGCGCGTACAGGGACGTCATTTTCTGCACTTATAAATTCATTTTATAGGTTTTATAGAGCGATACTTGACTCTATCATGAAAGTCTTGTAGCGCTTTGGCGGCTGGGTCTCGTACTTCCTGCCGGTTGCCGGCAAGTGACAGTTGAGTGTCAGCTCACACACTGTTTTAGGAGTATGCAAGAACTTGCATGAGTGTGTGAGACGTTTAAGTATGAATCTCAGTTTCTACCTTTTTAAATACACGCAGATGTATTGAGATGAAACTACAAAACCTTTCAGCCATCACCACTCACCACCAGAATAAAGAAACGGTTGTTTCGAAGCACCCCGAGGCATCCAATCACCGTGACGACGAACACCAGGCAGCCTGTGACTATCAGCACCCATGCGGCCAGCTCGTACGTGGCATTGGTAAGCAAAGCAACGTAGTGCTGTTTCTCCGCCACGGTCCAGATTCCGACACCGAGCACTCCGATTCCGGACAACTGAAATGGAACACAGCCTTTCAAAACAGGGCCGTTATTAGCAAAACGCACTTCCAACACAGCACGTAACTTCTAGTATGTTTTATTTCGGCCTGAGTTGTAATTAAATTGTTACACTGCACCCTCGTTTATTGGTAGGTTAAACCACGTTGGCTGTAATTATATTTGTTAATGAACAAGCTCTGTGAGATGATAAAGTGTAATGGAAAAGTTAAGTATTAAAGTATAATTTCGACGGAAAGTTATACTTTAAAATCATATATCAATGAAATATCAGGTCAAAAGCTGCTACGCTAATCGCGCATCGTATACAGAAACCTTATTTTCCCATCTAGTGTCATAACGCTACGAATTTTCTTTGTTTCATTGTCACTTTTACGTCTACGTTTTGATTCCATAATGCTGCCCAAGGGCAATGTTATAAAAAATAAAATATGAGGAGAACAAAACTACGCAAGCGAGAGAGACCGAGACCTTGGGTTGCGTGCAGTTTGTGAGACGGAGAGGGGGTGAGAGACGCGGGAGGAAGAAATCGCCGAATATATATTTACATCGTTACACATGCTGAACAAAAGAAACCAAATTCATACGCGAAAGCGTGTTTGGCAGATCGCGTATAATCGAATTTTTCCGCGTTCCGCAAATAACTGTTCGCAATTATTTTGACGTGTATAATAGAATCATCGCGTTGAAGGAAATTTGACGTATTCAAATTCGTTGTCCATATCTGTGTGGAATTTCCACTAGTACGTTATAGATTTCCACTCTTTATAAATTTGCAACTGCTGGAATTATTGAGGTTATGCTGTAACAAATTCGAGTGTAATGGTTGACGCCATGTTATTTCCTTTTTCTAAACACGACCCCACATCACTGATGATACGAAATTAAGATGCATGGACCTCTTAAAGAGGTGTGACATTCATACTGAGTCTCCTGAACATCTGTAGACTGTTTCAGAATTTTAAGATGGCCGTCTTCTGGTTTGTTGCTCTGTGTAGTCTGATGATGGATGTTGCAAGGACCTCTGAAACGTCGGTTTACTTCTACCAGACTACACGGCGCAACAACCCAATAGACAGTCATCTTCAGACTCACCGCCTTGAAAACCTCAAACCCTACTGTTGCAGAAGTTATTAATCGGGTGCACATGCACTTAAACAAGGTAGAATTGCTTTTTGTAAAAGGAAGTAGCAACAAATGTTATTTTCAAAATTAATTTTCTCCTTTGCTTTCCTTCTTCCGTAGCTTTATTCTTTATTTCAAGCATTTAGTACGTGAACAAAGACAAGTAGAACAGTGGCTTCTTTGTAAAACAAAGTACGTTCGCCTGCAGCGCGGTTAACAGCGGCCAGGAGGTGAACTATCAGGTTGTTTGCTCGGCCTCGTCTTATTTCAGTCTAAGACTCACGATGACTATAAATCCCACCTGTCTTTGTCTTACTGCAGTATCACGTAATGTGAACCGTCAATATGAGTTGCTTGTTTCTTTAATAGAAGTGCCAGAGAAGCAAGTTCAACAGTGGAAGATCACTCTTCACGTAATGGTTTCCAAATCCCTATTTGCCAGAAGATATGGCGCCTGCGCAACACATTCACGAAAGACAAAGTTGATTAACAACATGCGTTATCAGTTATATAAAATGTAGTCAACAGTTGTGTATGTATTAAATATTTCTGGGCATATTTTATTGAAGTTTACGTACCGGTTTTAATGTTAAGCATTAATACTGCTCTCGACTTACATAACCTATTTCTTTCTTGCCACGTAGGGCCTACGTACAAAGTTGAAAGATATATTTCATTCCAATTATTATTATTAATTACTTAACAAATTCAGACCTCGTAATCAGGCTTATATTATTGTTGTCACAACACGTAAAAGACTGATTTCAATCGACTATGACATTTTCGGTAGAATCATTAGTAATACGCCCAAATGGCCTGGACACAACTGTATACGAAAAAATATGATACTTCCTACAAGACCTAACAGTGACGCCCATAATCATACATGCCTAATCAAAATCTATACTTACATTCCTTTTGGTAATGTCGATATATTATCTTAAAACAGGCCACGACCATTATGATCTGCTGCCGATCACTGTTCAACTTCTGTAGCCTGACAACAGCGATGGAAAACGTTCTGCGTTGAATGTATTCTGCAGTAGAAGGGTGGGTCCAGCTAAAGGGCGGGTCTGCATTCCCGAAATAAAATAAAATACGCGTTGAGACCCAGGAGACCGAGGTGTTGGCCAAGATACGCCCTTAACCCCATGAATTTCTCCCACAACCCACACTGATGTCCGTGAATCGGAAATATCACGAGACGGAAACAATTCTACCTGACATGGATTAATTTCAATGAGAAAATATTTGCAACTCTGAGTGATACTTTCTCCAGCCGTCGTTAACAACCAAATAAAACCTTCTTTATTTTTTCTATACGAGCGCAGAACGAAGTTATTTGCTTCAGAACCAAATTAAATAGTGAAGGTGGCTGTCTTCTGGGTTGTGGCGTGTAGTCTCTGGTGCACGGTTCAACAACCCAGAAGACAGCGATCTTCAGACTCACCGCCGTGAAAACCTCAAATCCTACAAATCAAATATTGGTGGACCGTAAACACTCATTTATCAAATTGCGGTTTAATTTACATAATGTGTTAACAGTTGCGACTGTGAATCACTGCAGGCGAATACATCATCCAGTTCAACAACCAACAGCAACTCTGTTTCAAAAGAGAAATATACGACACCCACTCCACTCTCACTTCATTGCTCAGGATTAAAAATTTACCTTACCGAAAACAGAAGTCAGGCAAACTAATGACCTGAATGTTCATCACGACCACATTTAAAGTTCGTCAAATTAGGCCTCGATTACAGGCAGCGTATTACACGATACGAACGAGATGTTTGGCTTAAACAGCTCATCGTCCCTTTAGACTCTAGATTTGGTGTGTAGAATTATCGCCGAAAAGAAAAATATCCTGTGATATCGTCACACTTAACTGTAAATATGCGCAGAATTTAATAAACTGGGTTACGTATTGCGCAAATACGGTATGAAACAAACTAAAGTCTCTCTGCTGATGGATGAAATTAAATGCGAACATTTGTTCTCCGAACGTGGGAAATTCGATTATAAGCGGTCTGCCAAACACGCTGTTGTAGCACACGAAAAATACCACTACGGTTTAAAACGCTAAAGACGATTTGGCTTTTGCGTATATATATGTATGTACGACCAACTTGGTTTCTTTTATTCAACACACGCAAACATTCAGCTCGACTGTGATCCCGCGATTCATTGCTACTTTCTGCGTCTCTCACCCCCTCGCCGTCTCACAAACTGCACGCAACCCAAGGTCTCGGTCTCTCTCGCTCGCGCTGTTACTGTTAAATTGCGAATTTACGTCGTTTTGAATTCCTCGTATTTTATTGTTTATGACATTGCCCTTGGACAGCGTTATGGAATCAAAACGTAAATTTAAAATTTAATAATGAATCAAAAAATTTGTGAGGTAAAACACAACCTGACAAAATAATGATTGTAGATAAGTTGTGTAGTACTATGAGAGGATTATCAGTTAGCCATATATTTTGGCTGAAATTTTATTTTAAAACTTTCAGTCGATATTTTACTTTAAACCTCAACTTTCGAACAATACTTTACAAAATTACACAGTTTGCCCATAAATAAATATCGCTTTGACTTTCTACGACGGAGTCCCGTATCTCAATCCCGGACAACGCCGATTCGCCAAACGAGTAGGACAAGGGCTTCGTGTGAAATGGGTGAAGATGGAGGCAGCATATACTCACCAGAAACACCACGTTGAAGATATGCAACACATACTTGAGGAAGCTGACACTGTTACAGTCCGAGTCACGTGATTTCCTAGTCGCCATCTTGTGCTCTACCGTTCAAACATGGTCGACCTGCAACAAAGCGTTGAAGTGTAAATGAGGTCTACACTGAACCTTTCTGCTAGTGGAGAGAAAGACGATTATAATTTAAAACAAATATTTACATCGTGTACTACGAATATAAATCTTTCGTCTCCACCAAGAATTATCATACTCGGATAACTCAGGACGGGACGTGGCTGTCTTTGCGAACCCCAGCATCCAACGATGCACCAAGCTCGACGAGAAACATGAAATACTAATGAACTTCATGGAGCGGAGTCCTTCTTGAGAAGATGATAGTCGCTAAGCCATTCCAAAAAGTTCCCGAATGTTCATTGCCGTGTCCACAAGAGCCCGCCATCGGTACCTATCCTGGGCTAGACACATCCAGTCCAAAACCTCCAATTCCATTTCTTTAAAATCTATTGCAAAATTGTCCACATACACGCCACCATTTTCCACGTGGTCTTTCATTCAGGGTTACCAACAACAATTCTGAATGCATTTTTCCTTGTCCCACTGCGTGCTACATGCCATGTCCGTGTCATCCCCCTTAATTTGATGAACCATATAATACGTGATAAAGAGTACAAATGGCGAAGAAATCTATTTGTTATTACTGTTTGCTCCAAGGCAATAAATTTTGTCTTTTTATGTTCCTGAAAGGTTTACCGGATTGACGTGTGGGTATAATATTTGTTCAGATTATCTCCAAAATTCGACTTTGATTCTGATCTAATTGCACACTTAGTCTACTTACTTTTCAGTAACAATTTTCAACATTATATCTCAACCCACCGTTTACCCTCTTTGTAGACTCTTCTGCTGCAGTTCTGATATTTTCCCCAGTCCCAAGGATTCATGATGCCGAAATATGTGGTTGCTTTTACCTTCGGGTTAGCGGGGGCCCTAGTCTATAAAAGTTTGTTATAATTTTTGTACTGAACGTCCAGGTAGTATGACTACAACGATCTGAGGATGGTAAGATTACAAGAAACCGGCGATTTTACACCAATACAACGGGTAACCAGAACGTTAGGTGGCATTATACCACTGTCCCACCCGATCTCCTGTACTCCTACAAAGTCTCTGATTATTGTCTTACTAATGTTTTATAAAATCTTGACCAACACACACTCCTGACATTCATTATTCCAAATCTCATGTACATTTTCCGATGCTTATGTCGTCTCAAAGAATCCGCCTTGCAATGTTGGTTTCCTGGTTGCTCCTCGCCGAAATACCAGGATGACCCGCTTCGCGACTGTTCGCACACGACTGCTTACTTAAAATTTACAGCTACTATTCTCCATATGTGGAGTCATATGCCTGCATTCGCGACCTCCCGACTCAGGAACGTTCCATAATTCGCAGACAACACAGCACCTGTAATCTGATCGTTTGGTGTTCTCCTGCTTTAAACAAAAGTTCCCTGGTAATATGAGGGTATCTGAACCAATGAAACGATTAATAATTCGTAAGATTATCATCACCTGCACCACAATGTTTGAGAATCGAGTTTACAATACCCCCACCCTTCAATCTGTGGTCCATGTGGAGGTGACTCTTTGTACTACCTGTTCCAAAAACATTCAACGGCAGTGGAATTTTCCCTGTTGCGGGCTATAAATTCACTTGTCTTACGCCTGTATACGGTTATCAGTACTCTGTAAACACGGTTCCTTACACAAAAATTTTAACATCACAGAGTACAACACGTGTTGGTCAGAATGATTCAAACAAATGTACGTTGAACGGTCAATACTGTAGAAGTGTCTCGACATTTTTGAAAGAAGGTTACGTCTCAAAAATAATCCTACGAAATTTGTGATTAACAATAACGGTTAATTGCCTTATTTAGTCCCATACCTCACGAAAAGAAACTTCAAAGACTTTCATTGCCATTATACGTTTAAAATAATTATGGGTAATGTTCTGGTAACATCCGAAACTTCCTTTTGTTGTATTATTTTTACTACAATTCTCCTGACATCGTGGAATCAGGTGTACCATTCTTTGAGCGATTAAAGAATACAATTACGTGGACGCAACAAGTAGAAAACGTGGGAAGCAAAAGAGACAACGTGAAGAACTTGGCTACAAACATTGGGGGGAAAAAAATATCAGAATTATTACGACTTGAAGATATGGACTGGACTGGCTCAAGACAGGACACTGTGTAAACGCTCAGAGTTATTTAGTGCGGGAAAATTTATATTGCTCAAGACAGGACACTGTGTAAACGCTCTGAGTTATTTAGTGCGGGGAAATTTATATTAGCAGATCCAACATAGGCGATAAAAGATCCTACGACACAGCTGCCATGCTGTGATGTTGGAGGAGGAAATAGCAGCTCACAGTTCAACGAGTAAACAGTGCCCTCTTGTGAAACTCTGAAACAGAACGCGCGTCCTATATTTCGGACGGCGCTCAACAGTCATCTGTTTGCTCCCAAATTAAACACGCGCCCTTTCATTGCAACACAGCTGGGAGAAAGAACGACTCAAAGGACATGAGCTGAATGAATAAGGACCTATAATGTTACGGTAGCTTCCCACGTCACCAACAATCATCCACATCTTCTTCGACACTGTAAGTTGATTTAAACACGGATTATTTTATAATATTTAGTGTCGAAGACAGTTGAATCAGTGTCGTCATATAACACAGGAGCCGATCTGTCCATCCAAGTCCTACAGAAACAGTGGAAACTGTTGATTACTGATTTTTCTTTCCAATGCAGGCAAAATCCCTTCTGAAGCAGCAGCAGTTTTCAATATCTGTATGCGTTTGGTAACAATTCCGACAAAATGGCAACATTGCATTCGTCATGGCTACTCAATCTGCAGCTGGTAACGCTCGTGAGTCGTCTACAAAGCGAACAGTCTAGCTGTGCCTGTGGGTGACATCACGTATAATTGTAATAAGCCAATAATCTTGCCTTATCAAACCTTTATCGTACTCCAATTTTTTTATTTTCAAATTGCTGGTCTCCGTCATTACGTAAACCTACCAGTGGTTCCCAAACTATTTGCTTTCCGAAGCGATTACGGAACAGCTAAGAATCAATTTCTTATACCATCATTCTAACTGGGAACAATATTACTAGAGGAAAATATGTCACAATAATCCGAACAAATAATAGTAATAAAAAGTCATTATTAAATAACTTGTAGCATTCGTCGCCAAATTTCATGCTTCGAGGTCACAGAAAAATGGTACAATACAAACAGCAGATACAAGGTGAGTGAGTAGGGCCCGGAACTCGCAGCGCAGCAAATCTTGCAATGATGTACAAATGATTTAGAGCCGCGCGCTAAGGGGCCGGAGCGATTAATTTCTTCCATGGCCTTGAACAATGCTTATCTGGTGACGGCTACTGGAGCAACGGCAAAATATAAATTAATTTAAAAATAAATAAAATGGGCCCAACCAAATTTAATATGATCTACGAACCTGACGACGACAGCAAAGACGTCTGACATTTGACTACAGACTACAGGCATACCTCGGAGATATTGCGGGTTCGGTTCATGCCACCGCAATAAAGCAAGTCACACGAATTTTTTGGTTTCCCAGTGCATATAAAAGTTATGTTTACACTATACTGTAGTCTATTAAGTGTCTAAAAAACATTGCGAGAATTACCAAAATGTGACACAGAGACACGAAGTGAGCACATGCTGTTGGAAAAATGGCGCCGATAGACTTGCTCGACGCAGGGTTGCCACACACCTTCAATTTGTAAAAGACGCAATATATGCGAAGCGCAATAAAGCGAGGTATGCCTGTATACATTTAGGGCGATAGAAAATACAGTTTCTTTATGCTGGAGCGGAGCTGGTAAATTCGGCATCCGAGAGACAAACAAGGATAAAATTCCTGCGATTTAAAACTGCTGAGGTCTAGAGGCACAGCTACACTGAACGCTTTGTACCTATTATCACGAACAGAACTCTGACAAGCGTGGGTGGATCTGTAATGACGTCAACTGTTGGACAATAAAACAGCGGGCAGGTGTGCAACAGTGGGGCAAGGGACACGACTTGACATGTCTGCAAGGTCACATTGCAGGCGCGCGAGACCATAGCAGAACTACTCCATACATTCCCTGAATTCGTTAGTATCGTCAGACTGTGCCAATCCATACTAGTTAGTGACTGTACTGGAGTTATTTATCCGAGCGTGGAACCAGCTACAGAATGGGTGGGTGGAGATTTATCACAGAGCACCAACACGTCCTTACAGACAGGTGACTGGACACACGCTGACACAGGGAAATGGTGGGCGGTTATGAACCTTCGTGTTCTTTAAACAGTGGATAATTCCTTGATTAATGAGCGACTTTTAGCTACTCTACTTCGTGGAACAAATTACTTTAACCCTAATGGTTAAACTAGACAGAAGAGAAGTAGAAATATGAATGTTGAAAAGATGATCGTGGCCTATTTCAATGTACGTGCCAGTATGCACCTGAATACTTCGAAAAACCTCACTCAGGGCAGTCTTTCAGCGGATAGGCGCCAAGGACCTGCCGAATACAAGGGCCCGCCTCTGGTCTCTACCCTGAGCCAGATGAATCCAGTTCATACCACCCCATCCTATTTCTGTATGATACATTTTAATATTATGCTACCACCTACGTCTAGGTCTTCCCAGTGGTCTCTTTCCTTCTGGTTTGCCTACCAAGAGCCTGTATGCATTTATCTTCTCTTCCATGCGGGCTACATGCCTTGCCCATCTCATATTCTTTGGTTTAATCAGGAAAATTATATTGGGCGAGGAGTACAACAAACGAAGCTTCTCTTTATACAACTTCTCCAGCCTCTGAGTAATTCATTCCTCTTGGGTCCAAATATTCTCCTCACATCCTGTTCTCAAACACCGTCATTCTACGTTTCTCCCTTAGTATCAAAGACCAAGTTTCGCACTCATACAAAACTACAGGTAAAATGATAGTTTTGTATATTTTAATTTTCGCGTTTTTAGACAGCAGACGAGAAGACAGAAGGTTCTGATCTGAACAGTGG